TTTAATCATTTACATATTTTTCTGGAGCAGAGCCAAAGGGACATTGCACCAGGCAGCTAGGTCTTCCTGCCCTAAGAACTTCTTCAGTACTAATGAGGCTTTCACTGGCCTGACTCAGAATGCTACCTGAAAGAATGTGCTATCTTCCACCTAATTATACTTTAAGTGGAACAGATTTTAATTATCATTGATTCTTAATTACACTAATCTACAGAAAATATGAATCAGTGATGGACTATATTAAGTCTGTAACACTCTCAATTTTTATGGAGATTCTTCTCCAGTGTTGATTTCTCTTTCATTTTAAACTATTAACAATGAAACTGAGATGTAGATTCTGAGGGAGGGTGACTTTTTTTTTATTTTATTTTATTATTTGTTCAACTTGAGTAGGCAAAACCATATGCAACCACAATGCAGGTCTGATTTTATGAAAGCCTGAAAAATTCAGGAGCAGCTTGGGTATTTGGGCATGTTTGAGTAAGCTGTTCTGATTTTCCTCCATTCCTAATTATCACTTATTAAGGAATCTTATTTTTCAAGCATTTCACCATCTTGTTTTTTCTGATATTCCTAACACATAATTTAGCAGAGTGAAACGTGTTACAGGATAGTTCTGAATGTCTCTGTTCAAAGTAGCTAAAAAAATGATGAGTTCAATACCTCTAAATATTTAAAGAGAACAATATAGAGAGAAGCTAAAAAGGAATGTGACCTGAAGGTTAGTACTTTCCACCCTATAAATTAAACAGATAATATCCTTCCAGATATCTGTTTGTTCTGCTCTGCCTTCCAGCACCCACTTCTTCTTAAATATAGGCTCTTCCCCCTTTATTTTTTTTTTGATGGAACTTCAAATGGGAAGTTTAGATAGCAAGTTGTCAGGGCAGGAAAGGAGATCTTCATCTCCACTGTATTCACCTTGTGCTAAATGACTTTTCATGTGATTTTTCTCGTTCTAGGTGACTGGTATGAACAGCTTTATCCCCTGGTGATCACACTGAAGGACTGCATGGGAGAGGTGGTGACCAGGGCGAAGCAATCCATGGCCTTTGTTCTGCTCCAGGAGCTGGCTTGTGGTCTGCCACAGTGCTTGATGCTGACTCTGAGAAGAGATATTGTCTTTAGTCAAGCAGTAGGTTGTCTTGTGCCACTTCTCTCCTACTGTTGCTGTAGTTAAACATGCTATTCATGCCAATGTCTGTGTTTTTTGTTTTTATTTTTTTTTTCCAATTTAGCAGAATTTTTTCATGTGTTTTCCATTACATCCACTTAAATATTTCATTTGTGGTAGAAAAATTAATAGTGAATGGAAATCCATTGTGACTGTATCACTGAGTCAGAGAAGTAGGTCTGTGATGGACTGGAAAAGGTTACTCATCTTCCTTTTGCACAAAGAAGGATCCATAAAGCTATTTTTAGTCTTCCTGGATTGTATGCCAGTATCCTCACCCAGAGGTGAGGTTCTCAAGTCTAGTTTCAATATTCCTTGCTAGTCTTCAAGCTAGGTATTTTTTTCTCCTAGTAAGCTTGGAAATGAAGAATCATAGAATCATAGAATCCTTTAGGTTGGGAGAGACCTTTAAGATCATCAAGTCCAACCATTGAGCCATTAGGGCTCTAAAGTCCTCTGCTAAAACAGATCAGAATCTGTCAGGGCTGGAAGGGACCACAAGGATCCCCCAGTTCCAACCCCTCTGCCATGAGCAGGGACACCTCCCACTAGATCAGGCTGTCTAGAGAACAGTTTTTGTTTTCAGTTTGTCGTGGTATTTTCTGTGTTTGAAGACTATTAGCATGTCTTTTCTCAGACTTGTCTTCTGTTGGGAAATAACAGGAATTCTTTTCATCTTCTCCTCTAGATCCTGCTTTCCAGATAAATTTTTCTCTAAATGATTTGTCTCATTTCTCCCTTCAGTTATATATTTTTCCTAACTTAATTAAGGAATTAAGGTGCAACTGCCAAGGAACTTCAGTTGCATTATGTGCCTAACTGCTTTCAAATCCATCATCATTCACAGCCTGATGTGTTCATAGCCTGCCAACAGAGGTTCTGGTCTCATTTATGTCAGTGTAAATAACACACAAACCCACAAAACAAATTAAGGTCTTCTAATGTAAAATAAGGGTGTGTTTCACTGCTTTTTACACCAAAAAATGTCTCAGTAATATATTTTATGAAATTACCTATGTAGTCACTGGACAGAAAAATGCTGTTTTCTCAAATATCTGAATTGTACTTCTGTTGTGTATAATAACAAGCCTTATATTAAGTATTTTATAACAGTACATCTGTTAATTTCATATTTTTTCATTGTCTTTATAGCTTGCTGGATTGGTCTGTGGGTTTATAATCAAATTACACACGGGTTTACGTGATCAAGGATTTTTACAACAGCTTCACACTGTTGGATTGCTTGTGCAATATGAGGGACTCCTTAGTACATATAGTAAGTATTGCTCTTGGACACAGTTCCTCCTGCATCCAGACCAGATGTTTACCCAAGAGGTTCTTCCTTTAACCTCTGTTATGCTTCAAGTAATTTGGTTTATTGAATCAACAAATATTATCCTTGGGAGCCAATAGGTTTCCATGTTAGTAGAGCAGGTGAAGTCATTGATACTGTGTTGTCAATTTTGCATCAAAAATTACCCATTTGATTCTCAGTTTCCCTGAGAACAGTAGTTGCTAATTATTCCTTGCAGAGGGCTGAACTGCATTGTTTTAAATACAGGAGTCTGCTTCCTCAGTGGACCTAGTGGATCTGAGTTTTAATAAAAACTGACTGCATTTGTATAGGCATTTAGCCTGTCCCAAAATAGCAGGTTTATACTAACCCAAAAAGCAGATTTAAACAGTAAGTGACTGTATCAGCCTCTGCCCTGACCACACTGGTATTGGTGATGTGGAGATAGTTTGAAAACTGTTTAATTCCTAGTTAGTTACAGATGCCATCATTTGATAGGTATTTAAAAGCACATTTGGAGGGAGAAACTGCTTCATGCTTCAAAATGCTTTGAACCAGATATATTGAAATCCTTCCCCAAATTAGAGATTCTGCCCAAAGTAGGGGGATTTAGCATTTGTGCAGCTCTTTTACTGCAGAGGCAATTGCAGATCCTCACTTGGAGGCTGCTGTCAGGCTCCCTTTTGCATGATACTCGTTGTTATTCTCAAAACCTTTGTCCTCCATCAGCAGGACGGCCTTGAAAAACACTTTCAGAGTAGACAAAATGGCTTTTCTGGGGTTATTCTATGCACATACAGAGCAGGCTGATTTTTAGAGGTCCTTAATACTCATAATTATGATTTAGGCCAACGAGAATTGTCAGCAGTTCTGAAAATCAGTCTGCTTTTATGTAGGTTACCTTAATGTGGATTTAGGGTTGTGATTTTTAGATGCACAGGCTGGAAAACTTAATCTCCATATTGCTTTACTATAACCTATTCAGTGACTGATCTCTCTGTTAATAACCTCTATAATCTTTCCATAAAGGTGAAGAAGCAGGGATGCTAGAAGACATGGCTGTGGGAATTTCAGATTTGCAGAAAGTAATGTTTAAAGTCATTGAAGCCAAATCAGAAGATTTTTTGCCTATTATAACTGGAAGGCGGTAAGGACTTTGTTTCCTGGAGCACATGGCATGTAGTTTTAATCTGTAGCACATAAAAACCCAGATAATGGTTTTCTTGTTGCTGAATTCTATTATATGGAAAGTGCAGTAGTTTTGCTTTTCACGAGGTGAATGGAGATGTAATGAGGGAGCAAGGATTTGTAAAGCTAATAGTAATATGGGCTCTGGGTCACTTTCCTGAGGAAAAGCTAAAAGTTCCTATTATTAATATAAATTAATCAAAACAGTGCCTGGGTTGTGCAGAATTTCTGTTGCATTTCTCAGCTACAGAGACTGAATCAGAGAAGTGACAAGGTCAGTCTCTATGAAACTGGCCTTTAACTGAAGAAACCTTAGTTTTGTGGTGTCCAGGACTTGCATTTCAGTGTGACAAATGAAACTGCATTGCTAAGAGTTAGGCCTTGATTGTCTTAAGATGGAAACTGGAAAACTCAGGTGCCAAAACTGAATGGTCACTTCTCAAAATGAAGCCTGTCTTGGTTGCTGAAGTTCACACAGGACATAATGCAACTCCAGAAATCCTTCCATAAAGCCACTAATACACTGTGCATCACAGAAGAACTGCTGAATACAGGGCAGAAGCTGAAATACTTCATTAATTGTGGCTCTAAGAGGGTTAAGAAGATTGTTACACAGGAGGAATAGGTTTTTCATCTTCATTATTATTCTAGTCTGAAGCACCAAATGTTTTTACTTTTGCAGAAATCACTTCCTTAATAGTATCATTATTCTTAAGATGACTGTAAATTAAATTCAGCTAAAAGCAGCAACTTTTATAAAAGATACATTTCCTCTGAAGGGGGCTTTCACCACTGATTTACTTAATTATTCTGTATGATTCACTTTCATCCTATGGGCCTTCTGAGAAAGGATTGAAATAAATAGCAGGAAGGCCAGAGTATGATAGGCAACACATTGGGAATAATTAAGAATAATTATGGTGTGTAGATAAAACAGAAGAAATACATCCTTTGTAAAGCACAGCAGTCAAAAATCTTGAAAAATCCAGCAGCTACATTTACTGGCTTGCTGCCACTACTGTGGTGCACTGAACTGTCACTCTAGGAGGTCCTGGGCTTGAAAGAGGCTCAAGCTTTAAGCTGCCTCAGGCATTCTGGGTTGATGGAGTAGTCAGTCTTTAGGAAGAAGAGTTACTGCCTGTGACTATTGTACTGTGCTTACTGGCAGGTATTCACTGCATGGAATCAGTTTCAGAAAAAAAAGATATACAAATTAGTCTTGAAGGCTTATGTGGAGAAGCCCCATTGCTGTTAGAGCTGGGATGAGACAGCTCCTATCAGACAATACTTGGAAGTCAACCATAAGAAGAAAAAAAAGACAAGACAATGGAAATTTTCTAATTTTCTGGATATTTTCTAATTAATGTTTAAACCCCCAACTATGTTTAGATCATTTTGGTTTTTACTTGGTATGGCTTGATAAAATAAGACTAAAAGACTGTGGAAATGGAGGGCAGAAGATTAATCTACAAATACTTTTCATGCAGAGTCAGTGTTCATTTGGAATCATTTTTCTAGGAAAGTTCTTAAGGCTGAGGTTCTAAATACACACACAGATCAATGCAAAGAGTGTGGCATTGACTGGCAGTGTGGTGTAACCTGCTGATGTGGGTGACTGACCCCAACCCTCCAGGGGAACTGAAGTTCTCTTCAGCCTCTCAGGTTCTTTTATTATAGGCAAAAGTAGCTAACACTTACTTTTATGATGTGTTTGTGTGTCTTCGTATGTGATGATAACATATACTAGAAAATAAGGCAAATAAAGTCAAATAAAGGGATATTCTTAAGTAGTCCTGTTTTAGTGAAATCATATACATTTAACTATTGAATGCAGAAGTTAATACAATTCATGCTGAAAGAGATGATGCTTTATTTACTCTCTTAAACACACTGGGTTTTCCCACCCTGTTTTCCTGAGACCATTACATGTTGAAAGTTGTGTACTGATTTTTCCTTATTCAAAAAATGTAGTAGCCACCTTATCCATCTCATGCCAAAATCACCCTGGTGTATCTGATTCTAGCCATAAAAGAGAGAAACCACATATCAATAAAATTTACTGCTGTATTGCTCTTGTTGAAGTAGGAGCATAGGACCTGTGAGATTTTGAGTAAATGAATGTCAGACAAGTCCTCCAGATTTCTTTGAATTCTTTCCCTTTTCTTTTTCTTCCCCACCTGATTTTAGTACCATTCCTGCACTTTCTAGACAGCCTCTGACAAAGCTTGACAACCTTTTCCTTACATGATCACAAGTGGGTTGTTATTGTGCAGTTGGTTACAGATTTTTCAAAGCTACCAAGGAGTATCTCAGAGGCTTCAAAAAAAGTTTTTTGGGGGGGAAAAAGGAAAAAAAAAAAGAGGACAAGGGGAAGCTCTCAAGTGGTAGTGTTGTTAATTTATCACACCTAAAGGTCAGCATTTCTCAATGCTTTCAACAAAAAACAAGCTAGGCAGACTTACCTGGGGAGTAGAACTTTTTAGTCTTTTTTATTATTATTATTATTCTTTTTTCCCCTCTAATGCATCTATCCTTCATTCAACACTGATAAATCTCTTTTAGTAGGGAACATCTGGCACATACTCACAGATTACACACTAGTCCTATGAATGTAGTATCATTTCATTCACAAGTTAGTACTGGATCCATTTTATTTTCTTCTCAGATATATGGGCAGGATAGAGGTTCAAACATGACTGCTAGTTCTTCTAAGCTGAAGCTGCTTATCCAACTACTGCAGAAACTGCCTTTTTTCTTCAAGGTTTTCTCCTTTTTCTCTCCCAAATTCTACATATGGGTAATCCAGATTGTATTTTAATTCCTTAGCAAGCACTTGATTGGTTAAAATAAGGGTTGGAAGGACATCATGATGGGTTATTTGAGTAGGTGCAAACAGTTTTCCATCTTGAGTTTACATTCAAAAGTTGTGTGACTTCTAGGCATCGTTTCTGTAGGTGGGATATAGATCCTTCTTTTCCTTTTGTTGCTGTAATACTCTTTGGTTTTGGTGATATCTGCTCTGCACAAGAGAAAATTTCAGTCTTCATTATCAGTTGGCCCTCTTTGAATGAATAAAATGCCAGATCCTGGAGCCAAATGGGTTTGCTTCTAGTCTGTTCTTTTTTTTATTAGACCAATTGCTCTAATAAGAGAAATAAAGCTAATAAAAAGTAAGTTAACAGTATGCCTTTTCTTTCCTGTTATGGGGTCAGGCACCAATCCTCAAAGACAGATGAAATTCAGCATGAGGGTTCCACATGATCAGAATTTGTACTGGCAGCCAAAATAACATGTTTTTCATCAAGTCAGACCAAAAACAAACCTAAAACCAGAACTGCTGTATATCACATTCCTTCTCCTAAAACAGGATTTATGTTTGTGTAATGAGCCTTCAGTCATTATCTTCACAGAGTCAGTGTTGTTACTAGTGGTGCTTTCTATCCCCAGGGAGAAAATCCAGCCAGTGAAGAAAATGGGAATTTTGCATTGGGTTTTTGAGAAAGGTTTTTGCTCGTGTTACATTTCGAATGGATACAGACTCAAGTTGTGGTTTTGGAAAAGAAGTTGGGTTTGTAACTCAGCAAGGTGTATTTGGAACATTGAGGTGTTCTCATTTTGATAGCACAAAACTTTACTGCTTTCATCTTGAGTTCTATTTTCACTTTAGTAAAGAAGTTGGTATCAAAAGAGTATAATTTTATATACACACCTCTCTTCTTCCTTGTAGCTTGGTTATGGTCTTAAAACAAGCAAGCTGAGTTGTCACATCTTGTGGTTCAATACAATTAAGGGGAAAAGGGGAGAACTGATTTATAACTCTGCATGTTCTCTATAATTTAGGGAGGTTATAACTTCAAGTAAACAAATCAATATTCCCACCCTTACTCTTCTTCTTGTTTTTTCCTAGTGAACATTACATTATAGAAGTCCAGCTTCCAGCAAAGATGTTTGAGTTGCTGCCACAAGAGATTAAAGAAGGAAAGCTCCTTCGCATGTATCCAGTACTCTTTAATGTTGGAATCAATGAACAGCAAACACTTGCAGAGAGGTAAGGAAAAAAAGGTGGTTCATTTTCTCTCCAAGGATGTCGAGCTAGTACAGGTTATCTCTCAGGATTAAAAATAAATCTTGGACCATCTCCCATTGACTCGGTGTCTATTTTAGGAAGTATTAAAGGAAATAAGCTCAAGTTATGAAGCAATGCAAAATAATGAAAAAGTCCAGGTGAAGATAGAACCATATGCAGGTTTTTATTTCTCACAGTCAACATCAAGTTTCCTTTGGATACAGATACAAAATGGATTTCTATTTCATGAATATAGAGGTTGGTTTGTATGCAGTACTTTGGTCTTCTCAAATAGGAGTTCAAAAATTGGATATTCTTGTTATCTTAAAAGTGGTGTTGAGGATGCTTGGAATACATAAGCTAGAAAAACATCTTTTTTTTTTTTTCCAGCCTTGTAGGACTTTTTTCAAGGGTTGAGGAATAATGGTAATAGGGAATGTGTTAGTAGTATATTTGTAGAATATGTGACTTTAAGGCTGATGTTAAAGTTCTGATGTGTTAATAATATTCCTCTAAAAAGGTTTCTGGGAACTAATTAGAACAATAGTAGTCAAAGATTCACCAATCCATTTTCTCTTCCTAGAGAAGGGTATCTGCCAGTCATGGGTTTTTGTTTTTGTGGGGTTTGTTTTGTTTTGTTTTGGTTTTTTTTTGCTAGTTTTATTAACAGATCATCCAAGAGATATAATACATGTCTTTAGATTTCATTCATTACAAACTCAAAAGCAAAAGTGTAGCTGGGAAAATAAAGGGAGACAGTGGAAAAAAACATTAACCTGGAAAATCAGCAAGGAGTTAAACACAACAGGAGTTTCACATCCTATTCTTTGTAAATAGAAGAGTAAAAGAAAAGTCTTTTAAGGAAGAATTCTAAGGAATGCCATCAGGTCGCTTTGTGGATGTTTATGGAGGACTTCTCTCTGTTGTGAGTGGTGATGTGAGAGAAGATTTAGGTAGAAAATGTAAATGGGAGACACAGGCTGAATGAGAAGACAGTAAAACCTGGCAATTTACTGGTGAAAGAGTTGAGCTGAGTCTGGTTAGAGAACCTGAAACATTCCTGAAAACAAAAATAGCTTATTCTTGATGCCATAAAGAAGGGGAGAGGAGTGACATGGTCAAAGCAATAGTGTACAGAACTACCAGAATCAGTCATGATGATTGTGACTTGGCCACATCACATTTTTTTCCAAAATCAAAGAAAAGGAGTACGCCGTAACCAAGAAGCAAGTTCATAAATGCATAGGTGGGTGGAACAGGCAGAAAGGACTTCAGAAGAACTGACAAGGTCTAGAAACACCCTGGATACATGGGGACTGGTAGAGGAGAGGGTGTGAAAAGATGTCTGGCTTGCAGGTGGGGTGGCAGGAAGAATGGTAGCACTGTTCACAGTGGTGATTTTATATTGTGCACAAAGAAAACCATGAATGAATATAATAATAATATAGACCTACAATTATAGATAGATATTATTAATATCTGTATCTATCAGGCAAATCAATTTGGATTAATCCATGCAGTAACAGCTTTTCTGCATGCACTACAGGTGTAAACATTAGACTTAATTCAAAATATTTCTTAACTCCTAAAGGTGCATGTTTATATCTGAACCATGAATTAATCTAATAATAATAATATCTGTCTATCTATAAATGTAGATCTATATTAATATCTGTATCTATCAGGCAAATCAATTTGGATTAATCCATGCAGTAACAGCTTTTCTGCATGCACTACAGGTGTAAACATTAGACTTAATTCAAAATATTTCTTAACTCCTAAAGGTGCATGTTTATATCTGAGATTGGAAATACTGCACATGCTTTTTGGTGATTTTTTTTTGGTGTGTGTGGGGCAATGAACAAGAGAATGAAAATAAAGTTGTCTGATAAATTCCTAGAAAACGTTTGTTTATTAGAAGCAAACGTTTCTTCTTTCAATAAAACACAGTTGATGTGATTCAAAAGAAATATTCTCATGTGACAGTGCAGCAATGGCTTTTCTCTATCTTTTCTCTATCCCCTTTTCTCTACCTGAATTTCTCATTTACCTGTCCATTTCTATTTCCTTTTCTGTCTTCCTTTTCTTCATTTCAAGGTTATTCTAATGATTAGTCACAAAAACTTGGTCCTAACTGGCAAAGGGACATTTCTGTTTTTACATTCATGTCTTGCATAGCAGAGGCACCAGGAGATTTATATTTTTGTTAGCCTAAGTGAAATGTGACTGGTGTAGAAAATTTGGTCTCCAAAAGAAAGATTTGCCTCTATAGCCATAGTCAGGTCATGGATGAGCATAACAGCATCCTGTTGTCTGGGTTTTCTGTGGGGTGAAGGATGACTGAAGCCAGCTAGCCTGTGGATCATCTCTGTGAAGCCTAATGATGAAATCACTGCTCAACTGCAGAGAAATGGTTCTCTCATTAGTTTCAGATACAAGAAAGCAAGATAACAAACAGCTCAGGAGCAGTGTAGGGCAGAAAGGGCCCAGAGAAGCAATCAATTTGACTATATATAGCAAATATTCTCAGGCCAGAGCAGAAATGAGTTCTTCAGAAGGCTTTCCACTTGGCACTTGCATCTCTTCCATTTTATGTGGCTTCAATCTTGTCCAGCTCTGGCAGAATTCAGTATACCTAAGCAACAGCAGCAGTAAGAGATGGAGCAGTTGGTGTTCTCTGCCTGTGGTGCTGTTTGAAATGCCCACAAAGAGCCCTTGCATTTATTCAGGGTTTGTGAAGGGAAATAGAATATGTGCTTTATTGAATGTTTGTCTGTAAGTGGATTGGCTTGTCCATAAGTTTTTGGATGAACGTTGGCTTTGTTCCCAAATATTAGCTCCAAATTATGTGAGAGAATAACAACTGTACATTTTGACAAAATCCAGTACATTCCACACTGGGGGGGAAAAAATAAATAAAGAAGGATTTTTTTTATGCAAAGAAATAATTCTGAAGTATAATTTGGCTTTGTTTTAGTTTGGGGACTTTTCGTTTTCTGGTTTGAGGGACTTTTAAAATAATTTTGTTGTGCCTTTTTTTTTTTTGTAGGTTTGGAGATACCACATTGCAGGAAAACATTAACCAGGAAAACTTAGAACTTCTGAAAGAATATTACAGGCTGTTTACAGAAAAAATGCCTCCTGATTGTGAGTACAAAATAATGTCGTAGCCAAGTGGCTTTGAAAAGGTTTGATAGGTGAAAGATTATAAATAATATTAGCACAATATTAGCGTGCAGCTTTTAAATTTAGCCCTCAATCCCATAATTTATTCCATAAAGTTATGCACTTTGTGCCTATACACAGCCCTGTGCTCAAGGCATTAGTGGCTGCAGGTCCTACACCCCAGCAGAAACTACCAGGAGACTGAAACAGAGTAATGATGAATTAAACAGCCCTTTTAAATTACTAATTTAAGATGTTTTGTAAACCTTTCAAGTAGACGTCAGTCTGTACCTTCTCTATTTGTACAGAGGTACTCGGTGGAATTGTCATCAGTTTGTTATTCCTTCCATTCTTAATTTGAAAACACATTAAGGTATGGCAAACCATGGGGAAATTTGCAGATGCAAATAGAAGCAATGAGCCACATCATAATGTCACTAATATGGATACCCTGGTTCCATTAGAATTCATATTTTCATAGCTATTCCAATATTCTAATTCCTATATTCCAATTTTCTAGAAATTTGCTATCATAAACATTACTATACTGTTAATCTGATTGTTGAAAGCAAACATTGGAAAGACCATTTGTATCAATCTAGTCCTGTTAAAGCAGTCTTACTGCCTAAACTAAGTTCCCAAAGGCTGCAGATTTTACATGTCTTGGATTTAGGTCTCTGCTCCTTCCCTTTCAGTAAGGGGAAGGACAAATCTTTAAAATCTAGAAGTCTATCATCTTACAGGACATGCATAACTCCTCATGGTGAATACTACTGGTTAAAATCCCCTGCAAAACTTGTTTTCTTACAGAACACCTTGTGTGGATTACTTTTGCCACTTTTCTGTTACATATATATACTTGTAATTATATTTAATGTGTCAATGTATATGTCTGCACGTTTATCTTTTATATCAGGATGATTTTTAATATGTTAATAATTTGGACAGAAGTGAAACTTCTCTTCCTGAACAGTGGGCACTGTGCCCATCCATCCACCCACATCTCTAGGATTTCTGGACTTCTTCCAGACTGTGCAAGCTTTTGAGAACTACTCTTGTCTCATTCATCATTTCTTTTTGGGTTATTATTGCCTTCTTGCTTTTTCTCTACCCCTAAGATGTGAGTGTGTTCTTTGTCCAGGTTTTTACAGAACACAAAACATCTTCTGGTTCCATTGCCCTTCCCAGTAGCTCCCTGGCATTATACAGAATCACCCTTTTGACTTGTGCCTTTTAAACCATCTCCCTGAATAAAAGTGAAGCTCTACAAGTTGTTCAACCTGGGGAGGATTTCAATTCCTCCCCTGTTCCCCCACCTCTGTGCTCAAGTTCTTAGGAAGATAAACCTCCATCCAAGCTGGTAGCAGCCCTGGTGGTGTAGCCAAATGAGAGCCATTCAGTATTGATGGCTCCTTAATTGTTTTGTGACACCTTTCCAGGTAGTTTCCTACAGTGCCAAATCTGTGCTATGAAATAGATGCAGGACCCAGCTCACAAAGCTGTTAGTTACAACTAGTGCTCATAAAGCCAGACAGAATGTGAGGACTCACAGCCCAGCTGGCCAGGCTGTTGCATCCACCATCCTTCAGCATCCTCATTTGCCTGCTGCTTCGTTTTGTATATCCCATTTTAAAGAATGCAGTTTTCCTCTCCCATAAAGATACTGCTACCTGTGCTATTAGTTTTTCTCTCATCTCTGTAACTCCCATTGCAAATAACATTCCAGATTTCTCTCTGTTCCAAATAATTAAACATTTTCAGCTGCATTTAAGTGCATATGCCAAACACTGACTTGCTACCTTCTTTTAGATGATTGTGCACTCTGACACTCCTTTTTTCTTAATCTCTTTGTTTCTCTAATAGGAAGCTCTGAAAACAATAAACAGCTCTGTGCTCCCAGAAAGACTCCTACTAAAATTGCCACCCAAATGTAGTTCTGATTTAGGCACCAAAATAGCACTTTTTTTTTT